TTGATCTCAGAGAAGCAGCACCCTCACCAGAGCCAGCCCTTCCCCAGCCATCTCCTGCTGTTTTATTTTCTCACACTGCTTGGCCTGTAGTTTTCCAGAGTGCCACTGCATTTCAATCTATATTCTATTTTCTCTCCTAGAAAATAGGTCAAACTCAAGGCAGAGTTCACCAGGTGGAGTCCCCGAAGGTTTGGCTGGGACTCTCGAGTCTGGCTGTGCAGCTGCTCCATGTTCCCCAAACCACCTCTATGGATCTGGGAGGGCTGTGGAAGGAGAAAGTAGGATAATTTGAGATTCATGCCTCTTGATATGGTCTAGTCCAAATGAAGGTTCAGATGGGAGGGTTCCCCCAGCTAGATTCACATCTTCAAGTGTGACAATGGTGGGCAGTCCTTTCTTTTCTCCTGTAGTTAGAAAAGCCAGGCCCCCCAAACTGCAAGACATTGTTTCCTTTGAACTTGAGCATAACCATGCTGAGTGTATGCTCCTGTGGCTTCAGTTATTGTTCAATATGCCATCAGCGTCCATGAGTGGAGGTGGAAATGCCCTGATTTACTTCTCCCCTGGTTGTGATGCTAGAGGAAATAGGTGAAGGTTGACGTCAGGCTCCAAATCCTTCTTTTCTTGTTTTGCTTACTTTGGTTGGAGTGTGGCAGTCTTGCAGGAGCTGGCTTCAGACTTAACCAGGAATAGTCTTCATTAGGGTTTGTTTTCCCCTGTGTATGTCTTGAGTACCTGCTGCCTGCTGAGGACTGTGCCTTAGAGGCAGAGCCAGGAGGAAAGTACTGAGCTATGGAAACTAGTCCTCAGACCTCTCATCCTGTTGGTAGAAATAAGCAGAGTGGGTCCTTCAGGAGGAAAGTATTGAGCTATGGAAACCAGTCAGACCTCTCGTCCTGTTGGTAGAAATAAGCAGAGTGGGTCCTTTCTGCAACCTTTGCACTTGCTGCTTTCCTGCTTGAACTGTCTTCATCAGGTATATGTAAAGTTCATCTTCCTCAGGTATCAGCTCAAATATAATATTACTTCTTCTGAAAGGTCTTCTTTTACTCTCCTTTCTGACATGGGGACTCTTGCTCCCACTTAACTTGTTTCTCCTTTCTTCATCCCAGTAATCACATGTCACGTCATATTATGTATATCTATGTTGTGTTGCTTAGATCTTCCATGAAAACCTCGAAGTATTTAATTTATTATGTGTATACTTCATGTAGAAAGTAGGGTCTGCCCTATAATTGGTGCTCTATCAGTATGTATTGAATATGAATAAAGAATCTCCATGGATACAACTCACTAGCAAGATACTGTGAGGATCTCCATTTATAGAAGAGAAGATTGAGGTTCAGAGATGCTGAGGCAATTGCCTGTGGACAGAGGGCAGAGCTGGGATTTGATTTGAGGTCAGTTAAGCTTCTCCCATTGTACAAAGAAGCCCTGTTTTCTTCTGTGCTGTCTCATTTGTGTGGAGGCTCTCTCTATATGGTAACAAAGATGGCAGCCAGAAGCACCAGAGAAAAGACAGCACCCCATTTCCTGATAATTTCAGTGAAATTCCCTGGGAACACTCTCATTGGCTGGGCTTGGTCATATGTCTGTTCTTGGCCTAGAGAGAGAATATTCCCATGATTTAACCTGAATCATGTGACTCCTTTTAGAGCTGTGGTAAGAGCTGGGGTCATCTCTACCAACTACATGGATTAAAGGTGGGAAAGGAGGTCCCCTGGAAGAGAGCTAGGGATTTTTATAGGAAGAGGAAGAGGTGCTGAAGAGACAGTATTGATACGCTGATGCAGCCAAGTTCCTCATCCTTCCCCTTTAGACATCCATCCTCTCTTCACCTCCTGCCTCTGACACTTCTTTCTGGTCAGAATTGAGTCCAGTAATTTAGGTCACTCACTATTTCATGGGCCAGGGGCTGGGTGATACTGTGTCTCTATTCCTACAGTTGGAATAAAGCTCAGGACTGCTTACAGTCACTGCCACAGCCAGGAACCGCACTCAGACATTGTTGTGCCCCCAGCCCCCCAGTACAAAGGCTTTTATGGGTGTCATTGTTGTCCCTCTGAGACAAGAAAAGGTGCTATGTTTTAATGCATAGGGTTACAACTGCACTGAATTAAAGCACAGGAAGTAAAACAAAAGAAATACAGGATTTGTCTTGACCCTTGGTCCTCAGACTCTAACTACTTCTTTCCCTACTTTGCACTGAGGACTGTGGAAGGGGGAGCTGGAACATTCGTTCATTCATTCCCATTCATAAGTAGAAGAGTTGAACACAAATCACAGCCTTACTTCCCGGGGTCTTTTGGTGTTTCCAGTGATCCATCTGGTCAATATATTTTGGTACTTCTGTCTGTGGTAATTCAACACGACAACAGTCAGAGCTGCTACCATTTCTGCAGAGTTTGCCTTGTGTTCAGTGCTTTACAAGCATTTTATCTCATTGAAGTCTCACAACACCCCCATGAGGGAGAATCTGTTATTTCCATTTTATAGTTGAGGGAAATGACTTTGAGAGAAGTTCAGTGATGGGCCCAAGGCCACAGAACAAGCTGGGATGTAGTTCAGGTTCACATATCTCCAAGTTTAGGATCATAATCACAATACCAAAATGGGCAACTAACTTGTATCTAAAAACCAGTGGGGTTCCAAGGGACCTTGTTTCTCTGGGTCTTGGTACCCTCAAAGATTGTGTTTGTATGAACAAGTATTGACATTCTTAACACAGAACACCACATCCTGTTTAAAATCCTGTGAAAATTAAGGGATATTTTATGAGATCACTAGTCTAGGTGATCCATCAGTCACAGTTAATGGCCCTGCTTGCTTATCTATGAGGGTGCTCTCCTCACCCACCTGTTCTACTTCTATTTTCTTCATCCCTCTCACCACTCAACCTCTAAATCTAACTCACCAGAAAACCTGAAAGGGGGTGTGTCTGAAGAATGATTCAGAGTTCTCAAGAAGTCCCTTTGGCTAGATATAGCTTCCAGAGATTGCAGGGCATGCACTGAGTGAATGCTCAGCTGTTGCTATAAATATGTCCCTCCCAGATGTGAGGGCACAGCTCAATCTGGTCAGAGCCTGGATTTTCCTGGGATAAGAGCCCTGAGGACTTGCTTTACAACTCTGGTTTCAGATGTTTCATTATTGGCATGGAGTGTTACCTGCCTTGTTTAAGCAGCATGTTAAAACCACAGAGTAAAACCAGAGAGGATCAGTCATGATCTGCTCCTGGGGTATCTGGGAAATTCTCAGTGAGCTTAAGGGCACTTTCTTTTATATATATATAATTTTTATTTTATGTGTATGCGTGTATTGCCTATGTGTAGGTAAGTGCACCCGTGTCGTGCAATGCCTGTGGAGGACAGAAGAGGTTGTTGGATCCCTTGAAACTGGAGTTAACGGACAGTTGTTAGCTGCCATGTGGGTGCTGGGATTCAAACCCTGGTCTTCTGCAAGAACAACCAGTGTTCTTAACCGCTGAGCCAACTCTCCAGCCCCAAGGACACTTTCTTTAGCGTACAGATTGAACTGGATCCTGTGTACCCTTGAGAGACCTGGGCTTCAGCTCAATGAATGTTGAACTAGATGGAACTAAGAGATATTGGATCATTTTCTAAGCTCTGTCTCTGAACTGGCTGTGTGACCTTGGACAAACCTATCTGTCTCTTCACCTTCCATCCTAACAAGAAGAAGAAGGAGGAAGAGGAGGAGGAGGAGGAAGAAGAAGAGGAGGAGGAGGAGGAGGAGGAGGAGGAAGAAGAAGAAGAAGAAGAAGAAGAAGAAGAAGAAGAAGAAGAAGAAGAAGAAGAAGAAGAAACAACTAGATAATCAGTATCTATAGTCATTCCAGATCCACTATGCAATGATTCGAAGAAGAAGAAGAAGAAGAAGAAGAAGAAGAAGAAGAAGAAGAAGAAGAAGAAGAAGAAGAAGAAGAAGAAACTAGATAATCAGTGTCTATAGTCATTCCAGATCCACTATGCAATGATTCGAAGTACATCCACCGAGGATTGCCTGATGGTCAGTGGTTTCCCAAAGCAGTATCTATCTGCCTCTGCTGTAGTAAACATTGCCAGACTGTCTGAGTGTTTTAACAATACCTTGGGCTGTTCTCACTTAGGTTTCCCTAGCAAGACCCTATTTCACATCTGTGGGAAAAGGAAGAAGACATTGCGCTGTTCATGAAGATGATGGGAGTGAACTGTTCTGTAGGTTTTAAAAAGTTTCATCGACTTAATTCATGTGTCAACCTTTCTAGGTTTGTGCATTTATTTGTGGTTGACAAAAGTAATTTACATAGGCAATTCTTGTCATTAGTGATGGGGTAAAAAGCAAGGAGAAAAATTAAGGGCATAAGGAAACAAAATTTCAATTTCTATGGTGGATATTCAGCTCACACATAATGTCATGCACATGCTGCTGTCTGTGATGAAGAACGGTCACTGGGAATATGAGAAGGGAGGGAATTATACCTGTTTTGTGATCTTATGTCCTTCAGTGTTGTGTGCTGAATGATGTTGCAACTTGCTCTTGACTCTGATGCCTCTTTTCCTTTGCTCCTAAAGGGAGTGGTTTACACATTTTTTTCTCTCTGCTGGGCAACCTTGCTTGCTTTCATGTCCAGTGTTTGGCATCAGAAGAAGAGGAGGATGTGCTTGGGTGTTGGTGTGTAGAAATCAGCCAGAATATTTTAACCAATATTCTTTCAGGACTCTAGGTTGCTTGGCTCTTTGGAGCCCTATCTGATTCCAGGATGATGTCTTTCCGGACAGATGGGAAGCTTACCTCTTTTGCTACATGCACAGTGAAAAAGGAGTTTAACTCCTTGGCTTGCATGGGTGGTTTTGGGTGAAGGTCGAATTTGGGGGGCTTGCATGAGCTTGATACTCATGCAAGAATACACGGTATTGTGTGTGGGCACACTGCTAACTCTTCTTCCTTTCTCTCCCTTTTCTCTCCTCTCCCTTTCCATTTCTTTGAAAATGCGGCCACAGATGTCAGTCAAGGTCCAGGTGAGTCTTTGTGCTTGCACAGCTGCTGTGGGAATTTCCCCTCTGCTAGATTGTGCATGGTTTGATTCAGAGTGACCCCTTTTCCCAGGGATTAAAAATCTTAGTATATTGCATTTTCACTGATTTTTGGTTTAGAAGAAGAAATGCCTTGAAGTAATAGATTTGTATTAGCTTTGAAGAACTATTTTAAAATGAATGGAATTTGGCTCCCTGGCTTAAATGATCATTTCCTTTGATTTCAGAGTGAATCAAGGAAGTGGAAAATTAGCAAGTTTTGAAAATATTTGAAAAGGCATTTTTAGCTGTGTGTTATCCAATGTAATGAATATTTGCCTTGTTTTCTAACTATAATTTCATTGGTTAAAAGCTGAAGATATGACATATTCAGTCCAGAAAATATACTGGCAAATGAAGGTTTCTTTTTATTCTAATAATTGTCTCTTTTTTCCCCCACAATGACATTAATGATATTAAATTGACTTTTCAGTCATTGTGTAATACAAGTTCACTGTAAACAAACAAAAGGGTGGTTTGATTGGTTTTTGTTAATAGAAATGCCAAAGACTCATTTTTATGATTATTGGACATTTCTGTTTAAAGTGCATGATCATCCAGAGTCCTAGTTTTAAGCATTGTGTATATTTGGACACACATATATACAATCATAAGAGATGATACAACCATTTATAGATTCGAAGTTTCAAATGATTTAGAATGATTTGGTAGCTATTCTTAACTAGCTAGAACTCTGAGTTAAGAATGGGTAACTTCTGGGGCTGGAGAGATGGCTCAGCGGTTAAGAGCACTGACTGTTCTTGCAGAGGACCCAGGTTCGATTCCCAGCACCCACTTGGCAGCTACGAACCGTCCTTAACTCCAGTTCCAGAGGAATCCGACGCCCTCTTCTGACCTCCACAGCATTGCATGACACGGGTGCACTCACATACACGCAGGCAATACACTCATACACATAAAATAAAAATAATAAATAAAATATAAAAAAAAGAATAGGTAAATTCACCAAATAGAATGGGGGTGTCATCTTAGATATCTTCCTGTTTGTTTAGTCCTTTTTATATTTAATCCTTGTAGCCTAAATATATGATGAGTACTGCTATATACTATTTAATGTGCAGGAAATTTAGGGCCTGACAGGTCGAGTGGTCATAGCACTCATGGATGGTAGTATCTGAACTCTAAAGCTAATTCCTACTTCAATGGTACTTGCTGGGTTTCATCACTGAAAATTCCCAGTCACTGGAGATCTTATAAGCCTTCTTGATGGTATGATTGCCACTTGTTTGGTTTTTGCTTAGAGGTAATGTGGCAGCCTTTCCCCACATGAATTTATTCATCATTATTTTTCAATATCTAAAATAGCCAATCACCTGTACTTAGGTAGGGCCCTTCTGACCATTGTTCTGTATGGGATGTTACATATTATAATAATATAGTTATCCCTACCAAATACAGAGGGGTTTCCTGTCTCTGTTATTTTCTGCCTGTCCTTCATCTTTAAAAACAATTGAAAAACAACAACAACAACAACAACTGATATTTGGACCACAGTGCAGGACATTTCCTACAAAAATACCTTAGGAGCTAGGGTCATGGCTCATTTGGTAAAGTCCTTACTGTACAAACATGAGAATCTGAGTTCAGTCCTCAGAAACCACATTTAAAAAAAACATGTGCAGAGGCTTACTTTGTAATTTAGCACTGGAGAGGAAGAAGTAGGCAGATCCCAAGGACTTCCTGGTCAGTCAACCTTCTTGGTGAGTTGGTGATTCCAGGCCAATGAGAGACCCTGTCTCAAAACAAAACAAAACAAAAAACAAAAACCAACAACAACAGCAAAAAAGCATGATCTGCACCTGAAGAAGGATGCCTGAAGTTGCCCTCTGGCCACTGACAGGTACATGCATACAGGTGCACCTACACACACACACCCACACACACACACCCACACACACACACCCACACACACACACCCACACACACACACCCACACACACACACCCACACACACACACCCACACACACACACCCACACACACACACCCACACACACACACACACACACACCTGCACACATATGGAAACAAACATACAAACCATCACTTTCATTCTTTCTGAATAAAAATATTTTAGTTCATTCACTCATTCAACAAATAATTATTTACCCATCACTCTGGACAGAACAGTGAACAAAGCAGAAGATAATCCTTGGTTTCATTTACCTTTTATTCTAAACAGGGGCAGACACACACACCCGCATATACACACACACATACACACATTTGTATTACATATTACATGCATGTGTTGATGCATATTATGGCATATGATGACTGATAAATAAGGTGTGGAGAGAAATGGAATATGTAAAGGAGACATCGTGGTTTACAGAGGGTATCCGGGAAGACCACTCTGCCAGCAGGACATTTAATCCAAGGAAGTTAGAGAGTAAGTCCCACACCTCAGGTTTTATTTGTTAAGGTTAACTTGGCTTTGTTCTTCCTGACCAACAGCAGGGAGACCAAGAATCACCACTTCAAGTGGTACCTGTGCCTACATAGGTTCTCCCCAATGAGGGATGAATGGGGATTGACATCCAGCCTTCATTTTTCTTGTCCAGCCTGTGTTCATGGGGACATCTTTTTTTCTATCACAAAGACACCATATTTGTCTTGTGTGGAAGAGACAATAGAGGGAACTACAGGCCTTCTTTTATCTATTCAAGGGGTGGAGGCCCGTGACTGACCCTTCTGTAGATAATGGCAACTGTTAATGCCCGCCTTTCCCACCACAGTTCCATTTAAAGGTCGTTATCTCTTAATAACTGGCTGAGTATGTGGTCTGAGCCCCATTTTATTGCTGATGAAGTCAGAGCCCACAGAGGTTAAGTGATGTGCTACACTCACCCAGTTATTGAATATCAGGACCAAGAGGGGCTTCCAGCCTAATTCTAAATTTTGTGCCCTTCGTTCTGCCCTTGAAATGTCTAGGGCTGATTGCCATTCCTGTCACTCCTCCAACCGCTTGATTCTTTTTTGTGATTTCTGAGCCTGAAGAAAATTCTTGGTTCTGATATGTGTGTTGTGACTGTGGACATGGCAGGAGGCGGCCTGGCCCTTGTGGAGGTCAGTGGGTATCCTTCCATTTCTCACAGCTCTTGGCCAGGCAATCTGGAGTCAGTAGCCTTGTGGCTCTGACACAAGAACCCTTTAATGGTTCTCTTATTTTTTCCTTCACTTCAGGAAGACAAATTGGAGATTTTATGAACTAATGTAATTGTTTACCTAGGGGCTGCTAGAAGACTATAAAGGGATGATTGATTAATTGATGAATTTTACATGCTGAGCAGATTGGTTGGAAATAACCCTACTGTAAAATGCATTTGGGATAGGGCTGGTGGGAAATACCTTTCCCAGGATCCAGGAGATAGGCTGGGGACTCTTGATAGTGAGTTTTGGATACCCAGGTCAAATGTACAAGTGAGTTCCAATAGACTGCCACATAAATTGAAAGCCTTACCTCCTAATCCCTGGAAAGAGATTCAAAATAATAAAAGCAACAGCAAGCATTTATATCCATCCAATCTCAGGGAGATTGCTGTGCTTTACCTTACATTTTCATGTTAGCTTCTCCTGGTAGGCATTGCTGTCTCCCCTGCTGATGGGAAAAGGGAGCCTTGGACACTCCAGTAACCTTCCTGTGGTCACCTCCTACTAGTCACTAGACCAGGATTCCTGTGCCAACAGAGCCTATGCTCTTGTTCATCTAAACCTTACATTTCTGCAGTGGTCCTGTGAGCTTGGACCATGACTTACTTGTGTCTACACATCTTTGCATAGTATATAGCAGCCACAAGCATAAGGGGCATTCTGAATCTGCAGGGACCTGAGACAGTGGAGCTTAAAGGGTATCCTGTCGAAGGACTACAAACTTTTCAGAGTCAGAAACTGAGGCCCAAAGAAGGAAAGTGACCTCCCCAAGACCATGTAATTCATATATATTCTGGAGAGGACCCTGTCAAGTCCTGTAACCCATTTTTACTCTCTGGGACTTGTCACTGTTCTCCCTGGACCTCTTTTGGGGCAGTCCCATCCCTGCCCTGCCCTCCTCACTCCTGTATGTTTCAGAATTCTCTGCCAAGAGGGGAAGGAATCATTTGATATGTGAGGAGATGGGAGGGTAGTGGAAGGAGCCCTCCCTTTCCCGCCCTTCCCTTGGCACCTCTCGCTCATGCCTGAGGGCTGTTTATGGTGCTCTCTGTCAGCCTTTCCCCTCAGAATGGATAATTTCTCAGGCTCTGCCTGCTGATTAGAGCTGGAATTTAAATGAATAACTGTGACCTTGTGGATGTGCCCTAGTTATTCACAGGCCCAATGAGGAAACAGGCCTCATGCTCCGTCTGTCAGAGCCCTGGCAGGTACTGGAGGAGGGGCTTCTATCTGTGGGGGCCCAGCAAAGGCCTGGTCTGCTATTTCCAAAAGAACTGAAGTTGCAGTTTGTGGCTTCCTCTACCTGCTCACTCTTGACTTCTGTCCCTCACTGCGTTTCCCCTTCAGTATAAGTCAGCCAGGGTACCTGGTTACCAGTTCTGAGCACTTCCCTGTCTCCAGGGAGTGGCTCAGTCCAGCTGAGGGATACTGATCTGAACATGTGGTCAGAATACAGTCTCTAACAAGTGTGATTCAGGCCTTAGATGTAAAGGGGTTGCTGTAGAAGCCCTGTGGGTAACTGCAGGACCAGTAGAATTGGCATTGCTTGGGAGCTCAGCAGAAATGGGGAAGCTCAGGCCTTACTCACATCTACTAAGGTGGAGTCATCATTTTTTCCAAAAGCCCTAAGTGCAAGCACATTAACCTTTGAGAAGCACTGACCTCAGCTTTCTAGTCTCTCTTCCCTTTGGGGCCACCTGGGCTGCCTGTCCTGAGGAAGTTGTGATTTACCTTGCTGAAGCCTTAGGCCACATCCCTTTGTGCTGGATACAG